TTTTCTTTCTTGTGTATCTAATTTAGATTTTTGGTTTGTGGTTACTTTGAAGTTTATATGTGCAATCTATCTATGTACACACACACACACACACACACACACACATATACACCTGATTATTTTAAGTTGCTGATCTCTTAATTTCGAGTGCATTTTAACAACCCTGTGTTTGTACTCTCCTCCCCTCACAGTTACTGGTTTTGATATCATATTTTACATTTAATTGTTTTCTTTTTTTTAATTTAAAAAATATATTTATTACTGTTAGAGAAAAAGAACATTTAATTGTTTTCTGTATCCATGAACTGTTTGTTGTGGATATAAATGATTTTACTGCTTTATCTTTTACCCTCCCTGCCAGCTTTGTGTGTGAGTGATTCCTATCTATATGTTTGCTTTTATTGATAAGCTTTTCCTTCCGTGATTTTTATGTTTCTCGTTGTGTCCTTTTCTTTTTTGCTTAGAGAAGTTCCTTTAACATTTCTTGTAAAGCTGGTTTGGTGGCTCAACTGTTTACCATTTGCTTGTCTGGAAACTTTTGATCTTTCCATCAAATCTGAATGAGAGCTTTGCTGGGGAGAGTATTTTGGGTCATAGGTTTTTCCCTTTCATCACTTCAAATATATTGTGCCACTCCCTCCTGGCCTGCAGCGTTTCTGCCGGAGAGTCAGCTGACGGCTGTATGGGAAATCCACTGTATGCAGTGTGTTGCATTTCCCTTGCTGCTTTTAATATTCTCTCTGTATCTTTAACTTTTGCCATTTTAATTACAGTGTGTCTCGGTGTGTTCCCCTCTGGGTTAACCCTGTACAGGACTCTCTGTGCTTCCTGAACTTGAATGTCTGTTTCCTTTCCCAGGTTAGGGGAGTTTTCAGCTATTATGCCTTCAGATATGTTCTCAGCCCCTTCCTCTCCCTCTTCTTCTGAGACAGCTATAATGTAAATCTTAGTATTCTTGGCGTTGTCCCACAGGTCCCTTAAACTGTCTTCATTTCTTTGCATTCTTTTTTCTGTTCAACATCTGCGATTTCCACTACTCTGTTTTCCAACTCGCTGATCCTTTCCTCTGTATCATTTCGTCTATTGACTCCTTCTAGTGTATTTTTCATTTCAGTTATTGGTCTAGTCATCTCTGGTGATTGTTTATATTTTCTCTGTGTTAAGAACTTCTAACTTCTTGCTCTGGGCATCATTCTTTCCCCGGGTTCTTTGATCATCTTTATGATCACTACTTTGAACTCTTTCTCGGGTAGATTGCCCGTCTCCACTTCGCGTAGTTGTTCTTCTGGGGTTTTATCTTGTTCCTTTGTTTGGACCATGTTCCTCTGTTGCCTCATTTTGCCTAACTTGATGTTTTTTATTTTTATGTATCTAGTAGGTTAAGTTTCCCAACCTTGAAGAAGTGGCCGTTTGCAGACATACATCCCAGCAACACATTCCTCGTTTGTCACCAGAACTAACTGCTCTAGGGGTTTCCCCCACGGGGGCTCCGTGGGTCTTTCTGTTGTGGGGGGCTGACTGTGTGGGCTGTGTGGTAAGCCTGGTTGGCCCCTGGTCTGTTTGGTTGCCAGGTCCTGCCTTGTGCAGAGGCTACCGGCTGCTGGTTGGTGGGACTGGGTCACGTGGCAGCTGTCTGTAGAGCACCGTGGGGCTCAGGAGCTAGTGCCAGGTTTGTGCTGGGTGGAGTCAGGGTCAAGGAGTCCCCGGGGCCATCGCCTGTCCACTGGTGGGTGAAGCCAGGTCCTGGGGCTAGTGCCAGCCTACTGGCAGACAGAACTGGGTCCTGGGGTCTGGTTGCAGGATCCAGGGAACCAAGAGCAGGTGTCAGATTGCTGGTGGGTGGGGCCAGTTCCTGACACAGTTGGCTGCGGAGCCCGGGATGTCTCAAAGCTTGTGATGACCTGCTAATGGGCAGGGCCTGGACCCAGCTAGTGCCAGGACGGGATCTGGCCTGCTAGTAAGTGGGCCGGGTCTGCAGACTGTGGGACTGCAGTTTTCTTGGGCTGGTGTCTGCTCACTGGCAGGTGGAGCTGGGCAGGAAGCTAGAGCAGGCTCACTGGTAGGTGGGGCCAGGGCCCTGGGGATTCTGCTGGTGGAGCTGGGTCCCGGGGTCTCTGGTTCTAGTGTCCACGCACTGGTGCATAGGGCTGGGTCCGGAGTCCTCTGGTGCACAAGGCTGACCAGAGGCAGCTGTGGGCTCAGGGTCACCTGTTGGCTGGTGAGCGGGGCTGTATTCGTGCCTAGTTAGTTGCTTGTCCTGAGGTGCCCCAGCATTGGTGCCTACGGACCACTGGGCCAGGGTGGAGCTGGGGCCTAGGGCTGATAACTGGAGGGAGGATTCCAGAATGGTGCTTGCTAGCAGCAGCGTCCACGTGGTAGAGGAAGCTCCCCAAATAGCTGCCGCCGCCGGTGTCTGTGCCCCCAGGGTGGGCTGCAGTCGCCCCCTGCCTCTCCGGGAGACTCTTCAGGATCAGCCGGCAGGTTCAACCCAGGTTCCTATCAAGTTACTGCTTCTGCCCTGGGTTCCAAAGCATGTGAGAATTTTGCATGTACCTTTTAAGAGTGAACTCGGTTTTCCCCAAACCCCTGGGACTCCCGAAAGTAAGCCCTGCTGGGCTTCAAAGCCACGTGCTCTGAGGGCTCATCTTCCTGCTGCAGGACCTCCGGGCTGGGGAGCCCGACACGGGGCTCGGACCTCTCACTCCTGTGAGTTGTAATTATTCTGTTTGTGGAGCGCCCACTGGGAATGGGGGTGTGGGGCTTTATATTGTGACTCCACCCCTCCCACCTGTCTTGCTGTGCGTCCTTCTTCATGTCTTCAGTTGTAGAAGATCTTTTCTGGTAGGTTCCGGTCATTTTCATGGATGGTTGTGATTCTGGCGTGCCCGTGAGAGGAGGTGAGCTCAGGGTCTTTCTACTTTGCTGTTTTGCACAGTGTCCTTTGTTTCAATATTATTTCTACATATGTTTTAGGTGCCACAGACATTAATATTATTTTGTTCAGTCAGTACACATTTATGTTTAGCCACACAGGAAAACTTTCTGTTGCTCTCATTTTGTTTTTGCCTTGGAATCATTTTTCTTCTACCTAAAAAACTCTATTCAGTATTTTAGTGCAGCTATGCTGGCCACAGAGTCTCTCACTTTTCATTTATCTGGAAATGTATTTTGCCTTTACTTAAAAAAAAATCAACTTCATTAAAGTATAATTTCATACAGTTACAGTCACAGATTTTAAGTGTGCTAGTTGATGACTTGACAAACGATATATATGTATGTGTGTGTAAATATACATATATGCACATGTGGTATATACACTATACACACACGTACACATATGCAGAGAGATATACATTCATATATATGTGAGATATATGTATATATATGGCACTATAAGATACAGAATATTTATCTCCCCAGAAATTTCTCCTATTCCTGTATGGAGTCGGTTTCTCCTCCACTCTCATCCTCCTGCCCAAGAAACCACTGTTCTGATTCCTGGGTCAGATTTCTAGAATCCTATGAATGGAATCATATACTACACACTCTTTTGAGTCTGGCTTCTCTCAGCATAATGTCTGTGACGCTCATTCATGTCGTATTAGCATTTCATTCATCTCCGTTGTTGAATAGCGCACTGTTGTAGGAATGCCTCCCAGTGTGCTGATCCTCCCACCTGGACAGTCTCTGTGGGAACAGCACACTATTCTATCAGCTGGCTGTAGAAGCCCCTTGTTTAAAAAATAAAAAAACCCACAAAACTGTCAGAACCTCTGAATCTTTTCAGAAGGCAGAGTTCTAAAATGAGAAGTTATGAAATTGAAACTTTTCACAGACTGTTGATACATAACATCAAATGGGTTTCCAGGTTTCCACCAATTTACATTCCTGGTGTGACGAGTCCCTGTCTCACCGTACTATCAATAGCATTTTGGTGTCTTATTTTCTGATCTTTCCAAGCATGCCAAGCTGCAAAACCGAATCTAACAGTTGGAAGGAACTTCCCTTGGCGCTAAGTCAGTAGGTCCTCTGCTTATTTTCTCTCTGAATTTAGAGTCATCAGCGACCCCACTTCTTTAACCCCTTGTCTCACTGACTTTCTGAGAAATGAATCTAAAAAGCCAGTGCAGTCATTCCAGGCATCGGTGTTTCTAGTACCCAGAAGCCCACGAACTGAATTTCTCTGCCGTGTCCCGCGCTATAGATCTGGTCGAACTTTGGATTCCATTTACTGGGGCAGGATCAGCTTTCTTTGTTGCCTTTTCCACCATCCACACCTTGTTAAGTTCCTGCTGAATTGAGTGATCTCTGAAAATCTGATTCAATCTCAAACCAGGGCTCTGGGCATTACAAAACAACAGCCTCCTTGCCAGCTGACTGACATGTAATTCATTGCTTTGCTTAGGTGGCCATACATCAGGAGATTTTCCTAAAGTTTCTGCCTTTGATGGCAAGAGGTAGACATGTCTGTGGGTGTCACTACAGGGAAAGGCTGGGAAGACATGTCACTGGTTTTGTGGGAATTACAGGCTTGGAAGAGACAGAAGCCAGGAGTGAAATGGGAGCCACGGTGAGGACGGATGAGGGTTGGGAGTGGAGGAATGAAGGCTGTGTCACACCTGTTCCGAGCCCTTGTAAGAATGGAGCCATGGCATGAAAACACACTGAATCACCAAGTGAGAAGGCAGTTCCCTTTCCCAGTTCTCTCAGGTTTACCATGAGCTCAAAGAGAAAGTCTCTGTTTTGTCCTATTGTGTGTTTAACATGTCTCATGTGCTTCTAGGAGAAAACAGGACTCAGACCTAAAACCTTTCCAGGCAATGCAGTCAAGCCAGAATACAATAGCATGGTTTTATTTCTAGCAAATTTATTTTTGTGAAACTTTCTAGTTACTACAAGCGATATTTTTTTTAACAACAGAGGTATAAAATTTCCCTTTAAAATTAGTCTATTAGAGTTTTAAAATAAAGTCAATACAAACCAAAAATTTAAGCAAATAAAGTACAGGTGGGACTCAATTATGGCAAAAAAAAAAAGTGACTGCAGTGCCTGAATGACAGATTTGGGAAACACCGTCCCAAAGGGAGAAGGTACAGAGAGTATTCTGAGGTGCTGCAGTTCTGGGTTTAAAAATTATTCTTTCTCCAATTTCATTCATTCACCACTTGGCACAAGAGTGTTTTCAAAGAAACCTTTCTCTTTTTCTTTTGATTTTGCAGATTCCAGAAAGAAACTGGAAGTTAAGGATTTAAGGAGAGACTGTTGTCTTAAAATAGTCTCACTTATTTCAAAGAACACATGCCAGAAACTTAAAAAGGTATTATTAACCACTAATTTAAATATATATTTAACATTATCAACTGGTATCCTTTAAGGTAACTAATTTTCTAAAGCTACAAGTCCTTAAGTGAGTCACAGACTTGAGCACAATAGAAAAGGCTGAATTAGAGTCTAATAAATAGATGAGCATACTTTTAGGGGAACACTGACTAAATTTTCATTTAATCTCATTCCACTCATTCTCATCCCTTTAGGTTCTTTTTGGTAAGACTCTTGGCCTTTTGTTGTTCAGAATGTTAGATGTACTGTCTCTTCCTCAGTCACTCAGGTTGTAAAAGGAAGGTGATTGCATGGCTTCCTGCTGAGAATCTAAGGCTTGCATTTGGCTATTTGACAGGTAAGAGAAAAATGCAAGTGTGTCAAAGAGCAGAAGACTCTTAAGTGACTTGGTGGAAAAAAATTTGAGAACCACTGGACCTGAATGTTAACGTGTGCGGGCTTGTGCAATGTACCTGAATGACGCTGACAGTGTTTAGAGCTCTATGTTTTTTTTTTTTTTTTGAGCTCAACAAAAAACATTTCACACTTTCTCTCTGGACTGTGTGGGTTTAGACGAAAGACTAAGTGGCCAGTTCAAGGCCTTTCTACGTCCAAGAGTGTGAGCCACTGTATATACACAGGATGCCTGGAGAGTTAAGATGGCTGAGGGCTCTTACTCCAAAGAAAGTGATCAGTGCAATCTGGGGGGAGTGCAGATAAACTCAAGGTATTTTTATACCCAAATAAAAGAGCTTGGTTCCCTGTCCCTGCCGAGACAGGAAGTTCAGCATGTGCACGATGTTTTCAAAGATTTCCGGAGAGATGGCCTCTCCTGGTCATCTGCCGCTTGGAACTCCACGTCGCCCCTCCCTCTCGCCTTCCGTGCTGCGTCAGTCCAGCATGGCCACTGCTGCTCCTTCATTCCCTAAGGTGCTTGTGTAACAGCTGACTTGGCTGGACGTGTAAGGAGAGCTGGTGCGGGGAGGGCTGTGGCATGACCCAGAACAGGCAATAAGGCCGAGACATCACTGTCCCCAGGCTCCTGGGCTCTGGCTACCACAGGGGACCTCATGCTGTCGTTCTCCACCGGCCATTTTGTGCTCAGACCCTCTCCCACCAACCCCCGTAGTCCCTCTGCCCCCAGTTCTGGGCCCCATCTCCTCATAGGGTATGTGAAAACCTCCAGTCCCAGTTAACCTCACTTAGAAAATAATGCACCTTTTCATTCATATCCCATTCTAGGACTGAGGCACACTTTTTTTTTTTTAAAAAAAAGGAAGTTTTGCTAAACAAAAGGGTTGTCTACCTCTGGTCATCTACCCTGGTGATGTAACCCACAAGCAGAAGCAATTAAATTACGATTTTTACTTGACTACATCCCCGATCAATGTCTTAATAAGCATGAGTCCTTCCTGTTTTAAACAGAGAAATTCCAGGGCCAAAGACAGGGGGAGCATCTTTCCCATGGCTTTTGTCTGATTGGTGATCCCATTTGTCTCTTCAGGAGTTGCACTGAGAGCCTGGCCCTGGATCCCGATTGCCCTTCTGCCAGGAGGACACACACAGCCAAAGATGAATTTGGGAAAAGCAGCCGCTTGCTCCTTTAACCATGGAAAAGCAGAGCCGCAGTGAGATGGAAATCATCCCGGCAGAGCCGCACTCCTACGTTAAATTGTTGAAAGTCAACCGGGAACATCTGGTCACTCACATCCGCAACACTCAGTGTCTGGTGGACAACTTGCTGCAGAATGACTACTTCTCTGCCGAAGATGCGGAGATCGTGTGCGCCTGCCCCACGCAGCCTGACAAGGTGCCAGTGACGGGGGGGCCAGAGGGGCGTCTCCCAGCTGACCTGAGAGAAGAACCCTGGGAGTTCAGTACACGTGGCGGAATTTGCTGCTGGGGTTATTTACAGAACATAAACGCTTGAGTTATCAGCTTATTACACAATTACGTATTTCACTTCTGTGTTTGTGTTGAGCACAAGCTCCTCCTTGCTGTTTTATTGGTTCTCAAACAATTCGTTTCCCAGTTCACTTTAAATTAGTGAATTCTTTAAAAAGACAATGAGCATGAAACACTAGCAGTGCTGTTCATTCGGTGCCATTAAACCCCAGAGAGCCATTTGCTGCTGGGCACGACTCTGAGAATGGCCCTCATCTCTGATCGAGGGATGGCTGCATCCCAGCCTGGGTCCACAATAGAGAATTTTCCACGCTCCACTGTGGGAAGTCTTCACAGCCCTCGGTTTCACTTTAGCTTTGTGGCTTCTTCTGAAACACAGAATGGTGAGACCAAGAACTTTTTGGGGAGAGGAGTGACAGAACTGGTTTGTAATGTGATCCTACTGGGCTCAGAAAAGACCAGAAGGGTTTCTGGGAGAATTGCAATAGAACACTGCTGTGATTTTTTTTTCCCTGAATTTTTAATGAGACAAAAGCTTTTTAAAGGCACACTTTACACGGGGAGCTGCTGTCCCCTTGCTATGTGGCCCATGAGCACCTCGTTATGCCTAATGGGTGACTTTCTCTTAGCATTCATTCCCAGAGAGCACTAGTGTTAGGTTAAGGGAGAAAAGGAGGGAGAAGGAAATTCCAGGGGTGGGCCCAGCTCTAGTTGTGAGTCTGACTGTTTGATTTTTAGGCTCACGGAAGCGTCTGCTTTCTTAGAGCCATGTGGTGTGTGTCTTGCCGAGGCGGTCCATTTCAGATCCTGGGCTGTCAGCCTGTAGCATCTCACACCAGCTGGGTGGACAGTCAAGCTCGAGGCTGTAGAAGAGCTCAGAGCCCTGCGTTGGGCCATTTCAGTGGGAGGACACTCATAGTGCTGGTTCACATCCTAATACTTGTGCCCCACTAGGTCCGCAAAATTCTGGATCTGGTGCAAAGCAAGGGTGATGAAGTGTCCGAGTTCTTCCTCTACGTGCTCCAGCAGCTCGCAGATGCTTACGTGGACCTCAGGCCTTGGCTGTCAGAGATCGGCTTCTCCCCTTCCCAGATCATTCAGAGCAAAGCTATTGTCAACACCGATCCAGGTATGAGTCAGTCCCTGGGGGACTGTAGCCACCAAGCAAGCAAGGCCCCCAGGGCTTGGAAATGCTATGTGCCTGGGCCCAGCAGGGGACAAAAGTGGGGTCCCTGGGGTAGCAGGCTTGGCTGCTGGGTTCCCTGTCATCCTAGTGTTGCCCAGGGGACTGTGACTGAACTTACCACATGAGGCTGGTGTGGTTTATGTCAGGGCCCATGGAAGTGTAGAAATGGCTTCTGTTCTGTCCTCTTGCCGAATTCCTATTCTGACATATATAGACATTTTAGTGGTTGTACAAATTCAGAGTTACTTTCTTTTTTTCCAAATCTTTCCAAATTTGATTCTAAGCAAAGTATTCTTTTACCACCTCTGACTGCCAGTCCTTATTTCCAAAGCCCCATGGCACCCCATTAGTTAAATGATTAGCTCAGTGGGTATTTATGATGGACTCACCATGTGCCCAGGCACTGCGCTGGATGCCTGGGGTACAGCGGGGAGCAGACCCAGATACGGTTCCTGCACTGGGGGAGCTCAGAGGCCGAGGCAGGAGACCAGCAGCAGCTCGGGGCACTGTGACCGCACGTGACTGGGGCCATGGTCTTGTCAGGGGACCAGGGAATCTTCTTTCCATGACTGTGGCCTCTCCACTCTGACAGCTGTTGGCAACATACTAGCACCGAGCTTCCAAACTCTGATTTTTAAAGAACCCAGTTTGATCTTGACAACAGAAGCAGAAGACAGTTCCCACACAGGCAGGTGTGTATTAGGGGAAACCAGGCCAACAGGCAGTGTCAAGGCCAAGCTCTCGCTTCTGCGGCCCCAGCAGATACCAGCCGCCATCGCTAGCTTCTTCCTCTTTCCGCTGCCTCCCACCTCCCTTTGTTTCCTTCCCCTATAAAAAGGGAAAATATTCCTGCGATGAAAACTTCTCTCAACGGGCTTCTCCACTGGTGCCTCACCCAGGTATTGTAACAGCTTTTAAAGTATAATTCACTCCATGAGAAGCCAAATGTGAAATACTACACATTGTATGATTCCATCTATATGCAGTGCCAGAAAAGACACGTTTATAGAGATGGAAAGCAGACTGGCCGTTTCCTGCGGCCCTGGGAGGGGAGCAGGGGGCACTGGCACAGATTGGCTGCAAATGGCCTTATGGTGGAAATTATACCTCTGGGTTGCAGTGGTGTTGGCATAACTTTGTAAGTTTACTAAAAATCATTGACAGCGATACTTGTAGAATAGGTGAATTTACAGTCTGTAAATTTTGCTTTACTAGAACTGTAAAAAATGGAATTCACGTCATAAATTTTAACCAAATCAAGTTGGACTGAGTTGAGGGGAAAGGATTATAGGTGAACCTGGAAATGTCCATGTGTGTTCAATTTTTGTTAACTGAATTATGATTAAGGCCCAAAAACTATTTTAAAGGAATTTATGGAACACCCTTTTTTGTCTGGAGTAGGCCCCGTTTCGTAGCTCAGGTTTGCAGAAAACATGGCACTCATGCCAGCCTGTTAACCCATGTCCTCCCCTGGGGCAGGCCACAGGCCTCCTCCTGGCTCGCTGCTAAGCGCCGGTGATCCCCAGGGCTGGGCTGGTGTGCTCTGTGCAGTGTAAGGCTGGGTTTTAGTTTATTTACTCAGTTGTGGTAAGGCAGCGTCCCACTGTAATTCATATTAATGCCAGATGTTGTATCTTATTGCCAAGTTTTGGCATTAGGTTTTGTGAGACTACCTGTTGTTTTAAGAGCAGTATAATAAGCACAAAAAGGGTTAGGGCAGGGACAAAGGGGTACAGCTCAGTGGTAGAGCGCATGCTTAGCATGCATGAGGTCCTGGGTTCAATCCTCAGTACCTCCATCAAAAATAAATCAATCTAACCCCCCCCCCCCAGTAAAACAAATTAAAACAAAACAATAAGGTTAGGGCAATTTTTTCCTCAACAATACGCTTTTCCGTGGGGACTGGCTTGAGCTGTTTGAGCAGGACCCTGGGATTGGGCTAGGGTGGCAGGGCTATGTGGCCTGGCCCTCAAGTTTGAGGGGGCTTCAGTTTTTAGCCGGAGTTCAAAGACAGCTTGTACAGAGGAAAGAAGGGAGCCTGTCTCAGACACTGATCCCAGCTGGCTGGCTAAATCGAGGTCAGGCAGGGAAATCGAGCCCCAAGGACCCGCAGATTCTGGAGTGCTGGCTCTTTGCATTCGAGGAGTCCTTGCACTTGGCTTCAGGCTCCAGGTTGTGGATTTGTGTGTTTGCTTCTCTGCCTGACCCCCCATTTGATGCCCTTTCCACCTGTGCTTCCCTCTCCCAATCTCCACCTCTCACCTGGCCCCACTCTCCCTGCAGTGAGCAGATACACCCAGAAGCTGCGACACCAGCTGGGCCGGGACTCCAAGTTCATCCTGTGCTATGCCCAAAAGGAGGAGCTGCTGCTGGAGGAGATGTACATGGACACCATCATGGAGCTGGTCAACTTCAACAACGAGAGCCTGGGCAGCCTGGGTAGCCTGGCCTGTCTCCTGGACCCCTCCACAGGCGTCCTCAATGAGCAGGGCGAGACCATCTTCATCTTTGGCGATGCGGGCGTGGGCAAGTCCATGCTGCTGCAGCGGCTGCAGGGCCTCTGGGCGGCGAACCAGCTGGACACTGGGCTCAAGTTCTTCTTCCACTTCCGCTGCCGCACATTCAGTTGCTTCAAGGAGAGCGCCACGCTGTGTCTGCAGGACCTGCTCTTCAAGCACTACTGCTACCCGGAGCAGGACCCCGAGGAGGTGTTCGCTTTCCTGCTGCGCTTTCCCCACACGGCCCTCTTCACCTTCGACGGCCTGGACGAGCTCCACTTGGACTTCGACCTGAGTGGCCAGCCCGACACCTCCTCCCCCTGGGAGCCCGCGCACCCCCTGGTCCTGCTGGCCAACCTGCTCAGTGGGAAGCTGCTCAAGGGGGCACGCAAGCTGCTCACGGCCCGCACGGGGACCGAAATCCCGCGCCATCTCCTTTGGAAGAAGGTGCTTCTGCGGGGCTTCTCCCCCAGCCACCTGCGGGCCTACACCGGGAGGATGTTCCCTGAGCGCGCCATGCGCCAGCACCTGCTGGACCAGCTGGAGGCCAACCCCAACCTCTGCAGCCTGTGTGCCGTGCCCCTCTTCTGCTGGATCATCTTCAGGTGTTTCCAGCATTTCCACGACGCCTTTGACAGCTCCCCGCAGCTGCCTGACTGCACGATAACGCTGACCGACATCTTCCTGCTGGTCACCGAGGTCCACCTGAACAGGACGCAGCCCACCAGCCTGGTGCAGCGGAACACGCGGAGCCAGACAGAGACCTTCCGCTCTGGCCAGGGCACTCTGCGCTCTCTGGGGCAGGTGGCCTACGGGGGCATGGAGAAGAGCCTGTTTATCTTCAGCCAGGAGGAGGTGCAAGCCTCTGAAGTGCAGGAGGGGGATCTGCAGCTGGGCTTCCTGCGATCTGGGCTGGAGCTGGGCCTCGGAGGCGACCAGCAGTCCTATGAGTTTTTCCACTTAACCCTCCAGGCCTTCTTTGCTGCCCTCTTTCTCGTGCTGGACGACAAGGTAGGCACCCAGGAGCTGCTCAGGTTCTTCCAGGAGTGGGCTCCTCCTGAGGAGGCGGCAGCCCCGTCCTGCTATCCCCCCTTCCTCCCAGTCCACTGCCTGGGGGGCCGTGGCCTGGCGAGGGAGGACCCCTTCAAGAACAAGGATCATTTTCATTTCACCAACCTCTTCCTGTGTGGGCTGTTGTCCAAAGGCAAACAGAAACTCCTGCAGCACCTGGTGCCCGCTGCTGCCCTGCGGAGAAAGCGCAAGGCCCTGTGGGCTCACCTGTTCGCCAGCCTGCGCTCCCACCTGAAGAACCTGCCCCGAGTTCAGTCTGGGGGCTTCAACCAGGTGCAGGCCATGCCCACCTTCATCTGGATGCTGCGCTGCATCTATGAGACGCAGAGCGAGAAGGCGGGGCGGCTGGCGGCCAGGGGCATCTGCGCCAACTACCTCAAGCTGACCTTCTGCAACGCCTACTCGGCCGACTGCAGCGCCCTCTCCTTCGTCCTACACCACTTCCGCAAGCAGCTCGCCCTCGACCTGGACAACAACAACCTCAACGACTACGGCGTGCGGGAGCTGCAGCCCTGCTTCAGCCGCCTCACCGTCATTAGGTGAGGCCGCTGGGTTCAGAGAATAGTTGGCAGGGCCGGGGCTCCAGGGACACGAGGACTAGTATCGTGGAGCGCAGTCTCCTGGATTACCCTGGGACTCATGACCATGTATCTTGGAACATCCTGACCTTCTCTGTCTCAGGCTGGCAGAGGGCAAGGAGCAAAACGTGAAGTCAGGTGGACCTGGATTGGCCCCAGCTGGGTGTCCTTGAACAAATTGCTTAACCTCTCTGAGCCTCAGTGTCCTCATCTGGAAAAGGAGATTCTCTTATCCTAGCAATTACACTGATTAACAATCAGCATTCATTGATTGAGAATGGGTGAAGTGATATACAGGTATTACCTGGTTTAATCCTTTTAACAATCCTAGAATGTCAGTGCTGTAATCTCCATCTTGGCAAAGGAGGAAGTGGAGGCACAGAGAAATTAGTAAGTTGTTCGAGGTCACACAGCTGGGCCATGGTAAAGCCAGAATCATAAAGAACCTACTTTCTGAGATTCACGTGAGGCTCAGAGAAAGCCCATGAAAAGTTTCTGGCATGTGAAAGCTTCTGTGTTTGCAGGTAAAGCTGACTTTGTGATTATTAGCATTAGTTAGTTTCCATGATCAAAGCCGGCAGCCCTGATCTGCCAGGGATCTCGGTAAAGAAAGCTGACTCGTGATTAGTTTGATGGTTTAAAGATAAGAAAAGCCAGCCTCCTTTCTTCTGTTAGCATTTTCTGGATAAAATACACCTTGTAAATCTCTGGGGGGGGGAGGGTTCAGTTCTCCACTACTTGGCTCATGCATTTCTGAAGAACAGCAGGGATTTGGAACTGATTCCAGGTACCTGTGAACACCAGCGCCAGAGTACATTGTGCAGGGATGAGTAGAATGTAGGGAGCCCAAGCCTGCCAGGGAATTGGAAGGCCTGGAATCTATTCTCTGAGCTCTCAGCTGGCAACTCTCCATTTGCAGCCTCATGCAGTCTCACACTCAGTGCCTCCCTGTGCCCATTTCAAAAAATGGAAACTCTGCATTAGTATGGTGGTCCTGCCCCAGGCAGCTGTCCCCAGGTTTGCATGCAAACCAGCAAGAGAGAAGGCAGGAGGAAATGAGCAACCCTAGGGAAGTACTTTGAGCTCCCTGAGGGCATCAGTGCAGATTAGTTTCGGCTGAGAGTCAGAGAAAACTCAAAATCCTGATGGCTTAGATGAGATACAAGCTTATTTGTCTCTTAAGCAAAAGTCTAGAGGAGAACAGTTCAGGGCTGCTATGGTACCTCCATGACCATCAGGAGCCCAGGTTCTCTTCTGCCTTGCTGCCCTGCTGCCCTCACTACCTGACTTCTACCTCTTGGCCTAAAATGGCTGCTCAAGCTCCAGCCATTCAGTTGACATTCTAGCCACCAGGGAGAAGGAAGGGCAAAGGATACGCCTCATTCTTTAAAGATGTCTCAGCTATTGCTAATGAGACTTTTGCTTAGATTTCATTGGCCAGACCTTAATCACATGTCCTCAGCTAAAAAATGGGGGATTTTGTTTCTAAGAAGGCCTAGCTATTGGGAGTGACTAGTAGGCTCTGCCATCCTAGGATAGCCATGCAGTGTATGTACACACTGTGCCCCAGTGCCAAGGTAGGCACCATGAGGGAAGGGGCCCAGTGTCTGACCTGATCAATTTGATGTGGCCCCCAAGTCAGGCTTTTACCTGTTCAGCCTTTTACGTTTTACAGAGGTCAGCTTGTGGCCCAGTTTGGCCCATAGCTTCTGTTTATAGATGAAGTTTTATTGGAACGCAGTCACATTTATTTACCTATTGGCTGCTTCACTCTGCAGAGTTGAGTGGTTGCACTGTGACCGTATGGCCTAAAATGTTTGTTACCTGACCCTTTCCAGAAAAAATTACTGACCTCTGGTCTGTTACTTCATCCAACTCCTGACCCTTATGCTTATTCATCTCTGAGCCTTTTTCTGTCCCTCAGCCTCACCTAAATTGATGGGGTGGAGGATTGAAAAGATGAGGACAGTCTGTTATAGAGATTACTTGGTAGAAAAAAAGGATTTTTCATTTTAGCCATATCAAAACATGCAGCTAGTAAGGGGATTTCAAAGAACAATTCCAGCATGCGGCTGGCTCTTGTCCGGGAGATAGCTGTCATCCGAGGCCCTCTTTTCCTGCTGCCTCTCGAAACCTGGCTTGCTGAAGCAGCTTGTGTGTTAAAGAGGAGAGGGAAAGTGTAGCTGCCAAGACCTGCCTCTTCTGGTAGTTTCTCCGTGCCATCGACCTTCCCGCACAGAACCACACTACAGGAGCTGTCTACCTCGACTGACCTTTCAAGACGGGTTTAGCTCGTGTGTTTCTGGATGGGGAGGCTGTTGGCATTTCGGCTGGGACAGTTTTTTTTTTTTTTAACATTTTTTATTGATTTATAATCATTTTACAA